ATTTGACTTCAGGGGTATCACTGACCTTTGGAATATTTGGAAAGCCTTGGGTGGATCTAATGGCCACCAATCAGTGAATGTCTAGATGCCCTTGCTAAATGCTAGGGCCACTAGAACAATGCCAGAAATCAGAAGAGCTGGCAGCCCTTCTCTCCAGGACAACTAAGGCATTGGGACCTTCAGGTGGTCCAGACCTTTGTCGTTACACTTGCTTAGAACTATAATCTTGGGCCGGGCGTTGGTGGCGCACGCCTTTAATCCCAGCACTCGGGAGGCAGAGGCAGGCGGATCTCTGTGAGTTCGAGGCCAGCCTGAGCTACCAAGTGAGCTCCAGGAAAGGCGCAAAGCTACACAGAGAAACCCTAATTAAACAGTGACTCCCATGTCACTATTGCACCAGTGATTTTCTCATATTCTGTGGGCCACCACTTCAATTATATTTGCTTATGCTAAAATAAAAACTCATAATTTCATAAGAAAAAAAAAAAAAAAAGAACTATAATCTTGGGCTTGGGATTGAGGTAATCCCTTGGGGCTGGGCTTCTGCAGCAGCTGGAATGAAGCTTACCCCTTATTCTTGTGGACAAGGGTCTTCCCAGTCAGCTGGAAGGAGGAGAATAATCTATAACTCCTTTACTATGTGTGAAGTGGAATCTCTCAGGAGATGCCCACTCACGCTAACACAAACACTCAAATCTTGTTTCATTCTCAGGAGCTGAAAGTCTTTGGTAAGGTGAACACTAAAATACATGCTTAATGATGTACTCTTTCTATTATGTAGACCTCATATATATGTATATACGTGTATATGTATGTATGTATATGCACACCCATATATTCATTTCTAGGACAAGTTGATTCTGATGGGTTCATTTGGAGAACCTCAAACAGGTGCCAAATCAAAAACTTTCTTTCTGTAGTGTACAAGTTTTCCACAGTGCTACAAGAAAAGTACATTGAATATTATCAAGGACAGATTCAACCAAACACTTATTTAAGAGCCCGGGGCCCCAGGTTCCATGCTGAGTTTTACAGATGGCATGCCATTTAATCTTCATAGCAATACCAATCCACCTGTGAGGTGGGTGTTGCTCCCAGCTGCAGATGAAGAAGGACTTCTCAAGAGATGTCTTAGACTCATGGAAATAGTGGCTGAACCCCAGGAAAATAACATAAGACCCAATAGAGAGGAGATGGGCATGGCTTAAAGGCTGGGAGGGGTCTCTGCAATGAAGTGAAGCCAAATGGTACAAAACTATCTCCTAACCACCTCTGAGGGCTTTCTGATTTTGCAGGAACATACACTAGTGACACTAAACAGGTTACCAGTCTCAGAGTCTGCATTCTATTCGTCAAATTACAAATTATCCAGAGCTGAGAACTAAGTGCATTTTAACGCAGGAGTCTGACTACTAAAAAGTGCACAGTGTAACCACTGTTGTTCTTGCCAATTAATGAAGGTTTTTGAGGCAGAAACATTAACTCTTTCTCACTTTGACACCTCCAATTTCCATTTCCCAATAACAGTTGCTATTCAAGTTTCTCATTTCTAAAACAAAACTTTTCAGTTACCACATGATACACTACAGTATGAGGGCACTTAATATGCAAATTGCTAACATAACTTAATATTATCTTCCCTCCTGTTGCTCTTTAATTTGGCGTGGAACAGCTGAGGTTTGAGATTTTAATCAAAGAGCAAGGAATACGGCAATTTATAAAATCAAATGGATTTTTTTCAATTGTTTCATTCACTGTTTAGAGCTATCAAATTGTAGAGTAGTCTTATAAATGCATTAGCTGATTGCTACCCCTCCAGCTTGACCATGCCTAAATGCAGGCTTGTTTTCAAGCGCTATGAAATGATGGAAGAGGGGAGACGCAAGTTTCACAAAGCGTAATCCAAGGATGGCTACTTATCTTTGGAGTCTCATTTCCATCATCTGTGAAATGGAGATAGTAATTGTGCCTCCTTCACATGGTCATTGAAAGGACTGGATGAAGAACCCATGGACCGTATTAGGCAAGGGCTCAGCATGTGCCAAGTCTTCAGCTCTTCTTAAGCTGCAGTTGGGAGCTCATGCTTACACCTGACCACGGTTTCACATTTTAAAGCAGATATACTCTGAGAACTATATTAGCCACTATGCTCTGCCAAAACATTGAGGAGAAGCATTCAGAAGTTCCATACTCCAGTCAGCGGGAGGATTAAATCGGATCAAGGAGCTGCTTTCCCACGTAATGCATACCTGGGACAGGCAGCTGGGGCAGTCAGTCACTGTAGCTATGACAGTGTGGGCGTGCAGAGCGGCTGATCGGGCTCAGACACAAGAAAGACAGTTTGTTGATCACATTCAAGAAAACTGATAATGGTCGAGGCAGGAACAGCAAGAGATTCAGCAAAATGGAAGAGAAGAAACACTAGTCAGGTCCAGGGAATGATTTTGTTGGTCATTTGCTGAACCTCCTGTCTTTAAGACAGCCTTAGTCCATATTGGGCCTGGGGCCATCCTATGCCCTGCATAAACTTTAGCCTCACTCGCAGTGGACAGGAAACCAAGCCTCGCAATGGGCCTCGTGAGGATGTAGGGGCAGTGTGTCTGGCAGGGGGCTCAAAGCAAATCAAAATCATTTTCTGCTTTGTTCCGTGTGGGTTGCAAACCCCAAAAGATGTAAAGATAATAATGTCCCTGTAAGGGACTTTGTCACAGTGATAATCATGGAAGGTAAGAGAACATTTATCCGTCTTTACTGATTTTAAACCACTAAGCACAGATTTTTATAAAAAATGCCTTGTAGGGCTCAGTGGTAGAGGACTTGTAGAGTCCACACAGGCTTGATGCCCAGCATTGAGAGAATACAATTGGATATTTGCCTTCCTGACAGCCTGGAGGCTTGGAAACCATTCAACATCTAGTATTGCTTATGTCTTATATTTTGTACATATCTTTTATGTCTTCTTTTTGTACAGTTGGTGTCACATGCCTGCCAGCACTAATATTGAAGTCATTATTATAATCAATAACCTCTATTAGAACTCAGCAGTCTCTGCTTACTTTCTGAGAGTAGAATGCAATAATGATTTTTTTAAAATCTGTTTGACTCTTACTTTTTGTAGATGTCTAGACATGTCTTTGTCCCTCAGCCCACAGAGCTAAAAGAGGACACTAGATTGTCATACCTTATGAAAAACTCATTTGATAGAAGACATTTGGATAAGGCAAGCTCCTCTATTAGAAAAAGATTCAGGGAACTCTGGAGCTAGGCTAGCTCAACACCATGAGCAGACACAAATAAATAGGATGACCCATAGGAACGGACGAACCACCATTTACTCACAGAACACTTGAGGTGCTACGATTAAAACGCTGTATCAGTGAAAAAGGCTAAAGAACACACACACACAAACAATAGATCACCAGACTCAGCATGGCAGCTGATCGCCCTGAATTGGGAGCTTTTAGAACAGTGGTTCTCAACCTTCCTAATATTGCGACCTTTAATACAGTTCCTCATGTTGTGGTGACCACACACACGCACTATAAAAATATTTTCGATACTACTTCATAACTGTTATTTTGCTACTGTTGTGAAGAATCGTAATGTAAATAGTTTTGGAGATACAGGTTTATCAGCGGGGTCGCAACCTACAGGTTGAGAATCACTGCTTTAGACACTACAGGGGCTGTGAATCTGAACCCCTAATTCACAGACAAAATGGTTTCTGAAATCGAGTTTCCGTCCTTCAAATAGAATCTTCAAATCATTTAATTGCATTTTCTATTGGCATTCACAGCAAAGGCATCCTAAGGACTCAATTTTCACTTTCTCTTTTTCTCATAAATCAAGAATGTTGCCCAACCTGGAGGCCCAGCAGTTTTCAATGTGGTTCACAGGCGCCCTCTAGTGACCGGAGGCCAGTGAGAAAAAGCTGTTGCTCCAAATACCCAGTTCTGGGGTTCTTTGAAAACAGATCTACTTTCACAGCTGTAAAACCAGCTTATTATTTCTTATAAATAACTCATATCCACACAAAACTATTAGACAATATGCCAAGCCATGCAGTCTTCTGAACACATTTCAAAGGAAGTAACTTTTGCCTGATCTCATTATAAGACTGAAAAAAACAGGACAGCAAAGTAGCGGAGGAGTAAGTCAAACAAACAAAAACAATATAAATAATCACCTCTTCCCAACTTTTCATCTTTTCATTGATTACTTGTAAATAAACAATCATAATGACAAAACTCACTGAGCTCCGGTTTGCCAGTGCCTAATGATGAATTCCTCCTTTATTTGGAGCTTGGAAAACACAGACTGGTAGCAGATGCGTTCACAACCCTATACACTACCCAAGTGTTCTTTAACTGGTGGTCAGTGAGCCAATTTCGGTGTGCAAAAACCATTTTCCCTTTCAAATCTTCTTTAATGGTAGACATCAGTTAAAACTCTGGATTTCTGGCATTTCCTGGAAAGCTACACTTGTCCACATCTGACCTGCACCTACACATGCCGCAGGTTTCCCAGAGCCCAGTAGGCAGCCCTAAGGAGCATGTGTAACCCATTTAGCCTCGGGCACACTCAACCCATATCCGACCACTTCAGTCCGTAATCACCTTCAATTATTCCTTTCAAAAGTTCTCTTTCTAATCCCAATAATGAAGCTGGCTTTCAAACCAGACGAGCATCACACAAGCACATACCGGTGCAAACACGTCGTAAGAAAGGCGGAGGAGGGTAGCGCCCACCTCAGTGATAGAGAGAAACGAGATCGCACAAAATCCCCTCTCTATGGATGCAGTCAAGTTCATTTTGGGCTTGTGAATCTTGTCTTAGTTCTAAGATGTCAAGCGCCTCACTGTTGGGCTCCCATGTAGCAAATAAGCGACACAGACCCACCCCCCATCGCAAACCATCTCAACATCTTTTCTTGGAACCAGAGCCGAGGGAATCCATATGCGGCGCAAGCCAGTCCAAGCAAGCTGGCAGGGGACACTCACGGGTGTGCTGCTGTCGGAGAATGTGTTCATGCTGACCGAGCTGCTCAGCTTGTCTGAAGAGACGGAGGGTGGGGACGGGCTCCTCTTCTCCAGGGGGTCCTGCCTCTGCAAGTACTCTCGCCATGCTCGCTGAATGCTGCAGAAAAACCCAGCAATATGTCACTGCCAGTCATCACCCACAGACTCAGAAGGGCACGGAGGCGGGGACTGGTTTTAGAGACAGAGAAACTGTAAGATAAATTGTGCTTCAAGAAAGAACACTTGGGCTTTAGCTACATTTTGGCTACCAAGACTGGATTCTAAAACAAAACAGTAACAACAACAAAACCAACTGGATTGTGTCTTTCTCAGACTTGACTAGCCTAGCTCAGTCTGAAAAAGTCAATTAAGCTGGGGTAGGGGGGATAGGGGCAGAACATCAGTGAAAGTCAAACTGGTTTGGGCACCATGTTCTTTGATTCATGGGACACCAAATATTTCAATTTTTCATCTTTGAGAAAAATAAATAGGTGATGATTATATACTCATTCATTCAATGCATAACGTTAGATGGTCTGTTCCATGCCTAGGCTCTGGGCAGAGACAACAGAGCATATTCCTAGGGTTCTACACACAGAGACCTCAAGGTAGCATTCCCAACACTGGGCAGTGTGTCTGCGTGGCCAGATGCGGCAGGCTGGTGGCCCTGATCCTGAGATAAACCCACAAGAACACTGCAGTCATTTCCTTCACATGCTGTAGGTTGACAAAGGTAATGAAGACTATGTGAAAGCGCCCTGTGCTATTTAAGACACCAAAGTAACAGGTCATCAGGCGACTTTTTAATATTTCACTCTAGGCAGTTCATTGTTTTTAACCTGTGGTTAATATCAGAAAAACAAAAGCCTTTCTAAAAATAGGCACCTGTCTTGTTTCTGTGTTAAGGTTAAGGAACTTTTCGTGGACTACTGGCTCCAAACTCAGACAGTAACATGTCTGAGTTCACGGGTAGTCAGCGAGTATACTGGGAATTTTCCTGGGCATTTAGATGTGCACACCACCTGCCAGGATTCGGTATTCTAAAGTGATAAACTAGCATCTGTCACTACCCCAGTTAGACTCCTGGAAGCACCAGACCTTCTACTCTCTTCCATGTGAGCTGAGTCATTAAAGTTATTGGTATATGAACAAACTGATACCTCTTGCTCAGAGAGGAATTCTTTCCTCAAGAAGAATTGAATACCATCAATTCTCAATAGCCAGTGAATACCAGGGACCCAAAATGCCACCGTGTTATTGAACTTTATTGTTTTCCTAATTAATTAAGGTTTTGTGAGTTATAATAGTCAAGGAAAATTCTAGAAGGTACTATGAAAGCAATGCCTTGGATTCAGAAGCCAGTCCTGAAGTTATGGAGCTTCATCACAAGGGGCTTATGCTTTGGAGGTCAGATTCTTTTTCTGGGGCCTTGTTCTATGCTCCTTGTGGTTTGGGTAGAATTCTAAGGTAAGATTTCTTAAGAGCTGTGGTGGTTGGAGTAGTAGTGGCCCCCTAGGCTTATGTATGTGAATGCTTGGTCACCAGGGACTGTCACTGTTACTAGGTGTGGCCTTGTTGGAGGAAGTGTGTAACTGGGGATGGGCTTTGAGGTTGCAAATGCTCAAGCTAAGCCCAGTCTAGCCTCTCTCTCTCTCTCTCTCTCTCTCTCTCTCTCTCTCTCTCTCCCTCTTGCTGCCTGCTGATCCACATGTGGAACTCTCAGCATCCTGTCTGCCTGCACACCTCCATGCTTCCTGCCATGACAATGAACCTGTAAGCAAGCCCCAATGAAATGTTTTCCTTTATAAGAGTTGCTGTGGTCATAGTGACTCTTCACAGCAATAAAACCCTAACTAAGACAAGGGTCCTCCACACACAGCTCAACCCCCCAGAGTGAGCTCTGGCTCTGCTCTGAATGGTAATTGCAGGATGTTTTATTGCTCACTGCTTGAACAAAAATGCACCCTTGTTGATTTGTCCTTGGCTTTAAGGTTTTAAATATAATTTTAAAGTCCCACAGGTCATCCCACTGTTTCTTTGGGGACAGTCTTCATTAAAGTGCTGAAAATTTTTGGAAGTCATTAGCGAGTCACATGATCTGAAGGTATGGAGGTCCTTCAGAGTTCAGTGTTCAGTGAACACTTCAGGAGCATGTTGGATAAGCTCTAACTATTGAAGTCTCAAAAGATGTTTCATTTAAAAGAAGCAAAAAATAAAATAATATATTTATGGCCCATATGACATCCAAGAGTTTATAAGATTCCAAGGTATCCTTCCCTAGCCTTTGTTTTAAAAAACAAACAAGCAAGCAAAGGAAAAACAAAAAACAAACAAACAAACAAAACCCTATCTTGACCATTCAAAAAAATAAAATGTCATGCCGGGCGGTGGTGGCGCACGCCTTTAATCCCAGCACTCGGGAGGCAGAGCCAGGCGGATCTCTGTGAGTTCGAGGCCAGCCTGGGCTACCAAGTGAGTCCCAGGAAAGGCGCAAAGCTACACAGAGAAACCCTGTCTCGAAAAACCAAAAAAAATAAATAAATAAATAAATAAAATAAAATGTCATTTGAAGCAGTGTTACATTTTAGCATGTTGAACACCAGGGGGTGGTGTAACTCTTTAGAGACCCAAAGATGTTGCATGAACTTCAAGTGAGAGATTTGCGAAGGTTTGAACTTGGGTAAGCATCCCCTTCCCCTTAGTTTTATGGAATCCAGAAGGTGACATGATAATTTTCTTTAAGTCAGAAATTAAGGAAGCAGGGTTCATTTCTTCTAAGTGGATAGATATCTTCTTTCAATGATAAATACTGTAACAATGTCTAATGTCTTTTAAATTGTATGAAGATATAAAGTATTTAGTGTTTTAAAATATGTATTAAAAACATTTCTATGCTCTCTTAATTCCCTAGTACGCTTTGTGTTATTTTTGAACACCTGACTTATAGCCATTGTACACATACACAGAAACAATTATATGTAGTTGAAAGCATATTACCCTATTATTTTTTATCTTAATAATTACAGTTTTAAAGACTACATTGCAGATTGGATAATGCCTTTAAACTCATTTCAGAGGTTAAAAATAACAAGCCATTTATGTCATATTAGGCTATTGTACTAAATTATGACATTATTATTTTTTAATGGAGCAGTCATGATATCATTAGTTTCTGGGCCCGAGAAGAGTATTTTCATCCAACACTACTTCACCTTAAACTATACCTCTCATATGACCTTCAAACAGTAAAATGTTCTAATATCAAGCATTGCTAATACCATCTTCAGATGCTGAGAGAGGGGATTAAAAGAGAACGTAGAAGCTCCTCACCCACAGTCAAAGCCTCCCCTTTCTCATGCTAGCTTTACCATAATTCCAACTCACAAATCTCCATTATGGGTGCCCCGTATAGACTACCTTGACATTTTATTTTTAAAATTAAACTATGCTATCAGTATAATGCTTTTAAAACAGGTTGAAATAAGGGAATGTATCTTGTTCAGTCTTACATCTTAAAATACAAGCATCATTCGTAACAGAAGCTGAATGTTTTTTGAAGTCAGAGTTTGGCTATCAGTTCTTACCTCTCTTTCCTCATGCTGCTTTCCGTTTCTGACCTTAGTCTGTCTACTTATGTCTGTTTTGTAGCAGGGGCATGACAGTGGGTACCGTCCTCATTGCCACCAGATAACCTGACTCCTAAGAGTAGAAGAGAGAGCTTCCAGATGAGGGTTGAGACGCTCAGAGAAGGTTTGGGGGGTTCTGGGATTTGAATTGGGTCCTAGAGGGTGAATTAGATTGAGGAGGGGACAGAGGTGGAAGAAAAGACATGGCAAAGAGGGTGGGAGTCCGCCAGGAGACCCAGGGAAGGCGGTGAAGCTAACAGGCTGTGGAGACCGCCCCATCACAGGTTATAATTTAGACAACCTGGGTCTTCATTACCCAGCACTCTTCATTAGGAAGACAGAATTCTTCTGATATGAGGCACTCAAGGAGACAGCAGTCCAACAGAGAGGGGAGCTCCCCAAGACAGCACTAAACACCGAAAACGAAGCCCATCAGATTGGGTCTCTTTCCCTGCAAGTCCAATTTCCTCCCACAAGACTAAAATCCCGGGAGCAATGATCACCCACATAGATGCATCACTGTCTTGGTAGTTCCAGAATATGGTGAGCAGCTGATTAACAAATATATTTTTCTAACATTGTGTTTTAGAAATCGCTTGAAGAAAAAGTTCTACCTCACAAGGAAGTGTGTTTAGCATGATAGATGTTCTTGACTGGTTTTACTTCTCATTAGCTGTGGCCTTAAGCAAAATGCTAAACAGTCTGGCCTACATTTTGCTCTTCTACAATAGGAACATATAATAATAAATTTCTTTCTAATTCTTTCAAGGGGGCAACTGGTAACATATGCACATCCTTTAGCCCCAGCCTTGACAGACAGAGCAGGCCTGGATAAGCTACTATTATTGTTTGAGAAAACAAAAGACATAACAGATACTTTCAGGTTACGTGCAAATCACACACCAATGTGCTGTTCTGGATTCCCAAAGAGCTTCAGGCTGTGCTTTAAGGACCAGGTGGACATATAAATACGTTGGAAAAAGACACATTTGGATGGGAAATCTAGACTAGGCTGAACAGTTTTCTCCGATGTTCTCGCAGAAAATCATTATGATCCTGTTAGGGATGAAGTACAAGGGAAGGCAGGGGCTGCCCGGGTTCCCCGTGCCCCATGGTAGGTGAGAGCTGGGCTTGGATTTAAATTCGAGTTGCTCAAATTCCAAAGTTTGTGCTCTCAACCGCTCTTCCCACGTATCTGCTAAACACTACATTTTTTACTGCAGTCGTGTTTTAGTTGCTCTGATAAAACTTTGACCAAAAGCAATTTGAGGAGAATAGAGTTTATTTCAGCTCACAGGTTCATCATGGAGAGAAGCCAGAAGAAGAACTCAGGGCAGGAACTGGGAGGCAAGACCTGGAGCAGAGGGCATGGAGGAGCATGCTTACTGGCCTGCTTCTCCTGGCTTCTTCAGTTCGACTTCTTAGACAACTCAAGACCACCTGTCAAGGTGTGGCATCACCCAGTCAACTGGGTCACAGTGAACTCTGACATCAATCATTAACCAAGAAAACGCTCCCACAAGCACCCACAGGCCACTTTGATGGAGGTGATTCCTCAGTTGAGGGTTCCTCTTCCCGGTGACTATAGCATGTGTCAAGTTAATTTAAACTAACTAGCCCAAGTAGGCAGAGATTATGCTTTAACAATGTGATTTAGCGTCGCTTTTTATAAAATATTCTCACAAATACTGAAAGCTTAACAGATTTTTTCTTGCAAGTTATCTAAACTCATCAAATTATTTTCAGATGAAAAAATGACTAATGTTCAATACATTTATATGTTGTTTATCATAAAATGTTGCCAAAGCATAAGTAATAGTTTAAATTGGGAGGAATTTCTTGATATTCACTTATGACCTGCAAACTGTGGCCCAGACGTGAAGGATGCTGCTCAGGGGGTCTGAGAGGTGGCTCCTTTTCCCACAGGGCTCTGACATTCATTTGTTGTACACTTTCATGGCCAGGCCATTCTAGCCTCCGCTCAGAGCATGCTCAGCTGTACTCCTCAGGCTGCGCTGGCATCCTTCATCCGGGTGTTTTCATTTGACTGTCTGACAGAGGTTTGCCTTCTGCTCATGTGTGGGGAACCTGCCTTTCACTGCCCCTAAATGCCTTCCACGAATCCCGGGCGATCCTGATTATTTTCCTTTTGACACAGACCATTGATCATCCAAGTCTAAAACTCAGAATGATCTCTTCTTAACAGCTGTGTTTGTGAGTCAGGTAATGCGCCTTTGTTGACACTTTAATATCTCTCTCCCTCCCCCTCCCCCCTCCCCTCCCCCTCCTCCCTCCTCCTTCCTCTCCCCCTGTGTCACCTATTGAGTCCTCCACTTGTTTCTTCTGACTTTGCCCTACTACATTACTGGTTTGCACTTTTGGGTTTTGTTTTTGTTTTTGTTTCTGTTTTCTTTTGTTTTGTTTTCAAATGCTTTCCTTTTCACAATGTCCAGAGTGTGAGAAGCTAACTGGAGGGATCTTGTCCTGCTCCACAGCCCATGCTGGGGTTCACACTCACACAGGACAGGGTGCCCACACTGAGACAAGTTCTCTTCTTGCTTGTCTTCTATATTCGGAGATCGGCTCACCTGGGTCTCTCTCCGCCTTTGGGGTTCAGGGATCACCATCAGTTGTTTGTACCCTGCACTGAAGCCTATAGTACTTCTTCATGAGGGAGGAGGGAGATGTCTCCAGAAGACTGTACGATAAAATGATCCTTACTCTTCTCCTTCATCGGGTCAAGCCAGATGTTTATGTTGCCACCACCGACAGAGGTCAGAGGCACTAAGACAAAACCTGTGACATTGGAGGGTGACCCTAAGAGCTCAGACAAAGGCTTTATATTAGTTCTCTTTATGCCTGAACACTGTCCCTTGGGAAGCAAAGGTGGACATGGCCTCCCCTGTGAGGATGCCAAGGTCTTGGGGGAAGCTTGTCACAAAAGACTTGTCTAGAAGAGCAAGAGATACAGCCAATGAGGAGGTAAAGTCTGCATGTGTGAGGGCTCATGGTCCCATCCTCCGGGATTCCAAGCCTTGGAGCCATCTTAAAGGAGACAGCCACCTAGAAGCCCAAGTGCTCACCATTGGCAGGAAACTCTGGAAGTCCTCAGGCAGTTCAGCACAGAAGCAGCAGAACAGTCTGCAGCAGAAAGGAGACCGGGGAAGGAGGAGGGGAAGGAGGTGGGCACAGAGTGGGTGGAGGTGTGGGCTATATGATGTTCTCTCTTCTCTCTCTCTCTCTCTCTCTCTCTCTCTCTCTCTCTCTCTGTGTGTGTGTGTGTGTGTGTGTGTGTGTGTGTGTGTGTGTAGGGAAGATATGCCACCTGCCCTGGGAGTTAAGAATTTAATAACCAGATTAGACAAAACTCACTGAGCTGGAGTAAATTCTCTGATAGGACTCAAATTCCATTATTGGGCAAGATTAAGCTCTCTCCCCTCAGTCCCCTCCAGTGACTGGAAATGGGGTTCAGAGTTATTAGGAGAGATAAAAAGCATTCATTTATACTTCACTGAGCTGAGACTCCTCCATCAAACCAGCAAACACAAACTCATAAGGCCTCAGCTCTCTGCACTGGCTGGACTCAAAAACCCAGAGATTGGGTTTTTTCTCTACTTATTCCCCCTCTTGGCACCCACTCCTCGGCCTTGACATATTGGAGATGATGAAAACTTAAAAAAAGAAGACCACGCCTTTTTCCTAACTTACTTCTATCATTCAATGATGTACTCTCATTTTTTTTTCCCATACAGCAACTTCCCTTTGCAGCATCTTCGCATTTAACAGGACCACATCTTATAATGAGATTCCTCACAACCAGGCAATCTGCGCTCGCACTCCAGCAGGTTCTGTAGTGAAACTGACGCTTGCTTGCACAAAGCAGTTCCATAGCCAGATTCATTCTATCAGGAATCGAGGCACAGAACTTCCTAGCAGGGTGCCTGGCTGGTTCAGAAGCTGTGTCTGGGCTTATCGTGAAGCGTAGGCTGGATGCTCACACTGTGGTGATCCTCTTAAGGACGAGTAAGGCTGGCACTGATTTGCAGTGCTGTGGATGTCTATTTTCTCCACTCAGCAGGATATTATAAATCAGTCGTTCCATTCCTGTCTAAATTCTTTAATCCCGCAATGACTTATTGTTCAAAGCTGCACACCCCCAGGCACCCTTCTTCAGACTGACTTCCTCAGGCTTCTCTGCAAATGATCTGCAGTTCTCAAGTTCAGACATGTTTGAACTCTGTGGGTGTTAAACTTTTTAGAGTTTCAACAGGGGTTGGGGTAGGGACTGGAAGAGAGGAAGATTGTATGTACCAACCAGCATTGGCAATTCTTATTTGTGTGAGAGACTCGGAATGGGAAAGAGTCACAGAAATTGTCATGAACGGGATACTCTGTGGCACCAGGAGATTCTGATAGCTCCCTTCTCTTCTTAAGAATACCTTTAAAAAGGTTGCTAACTTGCTTTATAATAAGGTTTGCTTCATGGTGGGTCTCACTAGCTTCATTTTATTGATGTTGCAGTGTGGTGTAGCATGAATCTTAGAGGTCTTATTAATAAAATCAAACCTGAGGCCAGTTATTGGGGTGAACACTGGAAGATCAGAGAGACAGAACAAGCCACAGCTACCTCACCTTCGCCAGTTCCTCAGCTGATCCTGTTTCCTCAGACTGGAAGCCTCTGAGTCCTCATCCTGAATGAATCTCAGCTGAACTGTGCTGCTAGAAGCCTGAAAGCTTAACCAGCCAAATGCTTCTAGTTCCTGGTCTTCATGCCTTATATACCTTTCTGTTATCTGCCATCACTCCCTGGGATTAAAGGCTCACTTTCTGGGATTAAAGGCGTGAGTCACCGTGCCTGTCTGTATCCTTGAACACATGGATTTCTGCCTCTGGAGTGCTAGGATTAAAGGTGTGTGCTACCACTGCCTATTCTAAGTATCTAGTGGCTTTTCTGTTCTCTGACCCCAGAGAAGTTTATTAGGGTACACAATATTTTGGGGAACACAATACCACCACAGTGTGGTTAGTACTGTCTCATTGTTACACTTATAGCAGTAGGTGGAGCTCACCCTGGTCTTTAGTGGGAGAGGCTGTGCAGAAGCCTCAGCCACCTTTCATAGATAGGAGCAGGAAAGATAAGGGTTGTTTTCCCCCAACTTTGGTGGTGGGATTGAAATTATGAATAAAGAAGGGTGTTAAAAACACAGTGTTTGTGCATACATGTAAGGTGACACCTTCAATAGCAAGATGAAAGAATGAAAAATGATAGTAAGAATGTGCTAGACTTGAAAGGAAAACCAAACAGTTAAGTGAAAATTCCATAAAATACTTCCTAGCATTGCCCAGTAGATGGCGGTGTGGGCTGAAAGGCACCTTTGTTGTTTGCCTAGGCCCTGGCTGGACCTGCAGCACACAGATGTGCAATGAAGAAACGTACGGTTCTGTACTGATATACTCCCAAGTGTGTTCAGAAGTGCAAATGCAAACACCTGTAGAACGAATTGCTTCATGTAACTTTGCAAGGACTTACATTTTCACTTTTGACTCCAAGGGCTGCAGACTGAGGGGGTACTTTTCAATGTTATTCTCCGCATCCATGGCCAGCGGGTGACTAGAAAGAGAAATAGCTTGTCAGTATAACTCAACCCAGGAAGCCACTGTTTACAGTGAAAATACTTCAACTTGCATGGTTTTGAAAAAGGTGATGGCGATTTATTAGCAGAATCTGATGGGTGGTAAGTGACCTCACTCCAGAAAGAAAATATTGCCTTTCTCTGCAGCCTTGTGATCTCTGCTGCTCAACTAGACATTCCTAGCTGAGGCGTGAAAACTGCCTCTTTCGGAAAAATAAACAGGAAGTGTGGGCCCTTCCCAGAGGGTAAGACCCAAGGAGAATAGTACATGCCCTGCAATGATGGGGTATTTGTAGAGAACTTATTTTAACCCCTTGCTTTCTCCTTATTTCTATCCTTTATTCATCCCCCAAAGATGCTGCTGCCAAGAACTTTACCCTCTATCCCGTAAGTGGTTGCTGTGCTCACACTGTGAAGAAAACATGAGTTGTGAGCTACATGGTCACAGTTTCCTGTGGATCTAGTGGTCCCTCACTGGCTGCCCACTGGTCAGTACGAAGGCTGTCTTTGGTAGGTTTTGTAGAGCAGATAAGAAGTTGAGAGTGAAATAATATAAATCAGGAAAAAAATCAAAATAACAGAAGTGGATGACAAAAGGGGAAGATATAAAGAAATTGTTTGGAATAATCAGAAAATGAAAAGACTTTGTGGTCATACTGTGGCTATGAAATACAAAGCTCGGTGAAGTTCATTTCATACTCTGAGAAAACCCCATTGACACTGGCTTGCTACTTGCTCCCTGCAAGACACTGGCTGGAAGATCTGACATCAGGCTTGAGATACTTGAGATGTTGAACCTGTAGAATTGATCTGTAGCACTGTCCAGGATCCATGCCTGGTATGCTGACTAGTTGTCTGTCTACTGGACACAAAACTGAACAAAAAGCTAGAGAGAACCTTAAGAGAAAATGCCTCCACCAGATTGGCCTGTAGGTGAGTATGCGGGGGCATTTTCTTGATTAATGATCGATGTGGAAGGGTTCGGCCCACTGTGGGCAGTGCCATCCCTGGGCGGGTGGTCACGGGAGGTATAAGAAAGGTAGCTGACCATGAGCCTGGAAGTAAACCAGTAAATAGCATTTCTCTAGGCCTAGGGTCCCTGCTTCAGTCCCCACCTCCAGGTTTTTGTCTTGAGCCGATTTCCCTCAATGTCAGATGGTTAACCATGAGTTGAAATGAACCTTTCCCTCCCCATGTTGTTTTTAGTCAGTGTTTTATCACAGCAATAGAAAATCAAACTAGGATTGATTGTAAAGTGCATGCAAAGTGTGTGTGTGTGTGTGTGTGTGTGTGTGTGTGTGTGTGTCAAAATTTATGCTGTACTTTGATATTTTTGTGTGTCTAGGTTTCTTCAAAGGCCAGTGGGGTCCTGCCAAGCTGTAACACACCACCAGTGCATGGGGACCACCAGCCAGTATGAAAGCCAATGCTGCGGGGAAGCAAAGATTTAGAGCAGGGAGTTTGGAGGGGATGTTCCGGACTGGTACAGGGTACTCAGCGGGAAAGTGAGGTAAACTCATTAGAAGGCTACCCAAATTAATGAGAACCATGACTGAGACCCAGGAAAGAACCGAGATACAGAAGGAGGAAAGTGTCCCAGAGCTGGCCCTTTCAGTCTCTTGAGTATTTATTTCTTCCTTCACCCCCTAGCGGGAAAACATGACCAGACACATACATTCATACGGCCACTAGGTGGTGCCATGAGCCCAAAATTGCTCTGCTGTTGCACAGCCTGATTTTGTTGATGGGGAGAAAAACATTCTTTTACTCTGTGGCATTGGTATTCAGGATTTGCTGTTAATTCCTTATTTTTCAGCCACGTGTATACTAGAAATTATTCAAAGCATGGGGCCAAAATGGTGAAAACACTAACCATAGTCCCTGTTCTTTCTTGGTCTGGGAGGTGCGTATTATAAATATGTGTGATGTCTATAATTATGTGTAAGTGTAATCAGTGTTATTAAAGAGGAAACATAAATGGACCCAATCCAGGGAATAAGAGCATTCAAAGACTCACTTTACAATCACCTGATCTTATGGGTTTTAGCAGCCTTATAACCAGGGCATTTTAAAGTTTGAGTCTATTATTAAGCATCCTATTAATTACAAATTAGCAAATTGGCAGAGCACCTGCAATATAGGCAATATAGCCTGCGATCATCAAAGACGATCATAGTAAATTTTCTTTAATAAAGAAAACACTTATATGACTTAATTAGGACATATAAATTACACATCACCAACAAGGTATAAATGACAAACATGTATTGGCTTAAGCCAGCTAGCACCAGTGCATCTTATCAATAATTTCCTGTGGCTAATCAAGTCATTATATATCAGCACAATGGTGGAACATGCAATCACAAGTCTTCTACCAGAGATAGAGCCTGGGTCGATAATGACAAAAAAGCAAGGCACTCAGACTAAGGTCTTATTCAAGTTAATAAGTAATTATCATTAACAATAGACTCCCAAGAAGTCTCCTAATTAATAGTGTACCAATTAATTTGTCTCTACTTTTGGGCACTTGCCAAGCTCTATTGTGTCTGTGTGTATGTATGTGTGCAGGCGTATGTGTGCACCTGAGTGTATAGGTAAATGCCCTCAACTGGCCTTCCACAGTATGGAGCTGTATCTTCCCTGCCCTCCACACTGCCTGTCTACCACAAAGCCCTGTTGAGCATTTGGAATAAATGTAATGTTCCAAAGGGGAATAACCGATCAACGGCTATGACACCATGATGACTTCACTGACTTCATTTTGAATAGCGGAGGTGATTTACATCGACACCTAAGTCAGCTACAGCTGTAATGAAATGCCTGATCCACTGGAAGCACCCCAGGTTTTTCAATCAACTCTGACAGTTTTCAAGGACATAGTCCTGCCTGGAAGCGGACCAGGAAAAATTTCCAGCAATCTATGCAAATGTGCCAAGAAATCCATGTAAATGTTGGGTCCGGTGCCCATTGCATTTGTTATCTGTATTGGCAACCAGGGAAGAGAGAGCTTCTCTTGAAACTTTTCCCCGCATGGAAGGACTTGTGTCTGTCTGTGCGCTTTGAAGGGAATCAATTTCTATCCCTAGAATCTTCCACGCTCACAGGAAAACAGAACAAATCTACAAGACAGACAGGTCATTCTTGGCAGCTTTTAGCTTTCCCAGGTCTCTGGATGGTACAAGAGAAAGAGTAAGCTGGCATTGCCTGCAGTGGGGGAGGGATGGGGGAACAAGTACACACACACACACACACACACACACACACACACTTTACTAATGTTCACATGTCTTCCTGAGAGCAGAGAGCTGGGGGATGTTGGCGGTACTGAGAGATGTAATAGGGAGCTGTGGTCAATTAGCATGAGGGAAAAATCAGCTTTTGGAGTTCATTTCCTACATTGGAATCAATAATGAAAAGCAGACGTAGCCAGATTGGACAAATGAATGGGCTGAACATCACAGAGGCAGTGTGCCCTCGGAGAATGTGGCTGCTCAGGGGGTTTCCTGCATAACTGCAAAGACTGAATAGCATCATCGCTGCTGGTCCTCACCCCAGCTCCTCCTCAGAACCACCTGAAGGAAGCTGCTAAATGCTGCCTCCACACTCCAGATTCAATTTGTCTGGGGTGGGGCTCGAGTCAGGACATGTTTGTTAAGCTGACTCTAAATATCCAGGATGAAGAAGCATGGTGTAGACCTCATGTCAATTGAACATGGGTCTCCATAGAAGAAAAGTCTTTCCAGGATGAACTAAAGTCTTAGTTATTATTGTTGACTCGTACCTAGTGAAAGTGTTCATAGGGAAGGATTAACTCGTTTTTAATTAAGTTGATTGTCAGCTAACAGCTAACCGTTGGACATGTCAGGGTTGGCAGGTGGCTCAGCTGTTAAAAGAACTTGCTGCACCATTGTGAGGCCTAGAAATCTGACGCCAGCACTCTTGAGACACATGCAGAGGCTGACACATGCCTGTAGCTTCCCAGCAGCTGGAGACAGGACGACCTCAGGAGTCCTTCAGCTTTCAGCCTTGCCAAGAAAACACTGGCCCTAGGTCCAGGGAGAGACCCTGCCTCAAAGGAACAGACAGTAATAGCGGAGGGGCCCTGGCCCTCTTCTGGACTCCACACCCACTCACAGGAACGAGCATGCACACGCTTGTGCACATAGACTCACACGGAGACTCACACAAGTACATTTCTAAATTATATGTATTAATGTGATGTTTCCAAATAGGCTTACATTGTGCAATATTTTCATCACTTTCATCTGTCCCCTCAAACATATCATTTCTTTCTGGTAAAATTTTTAATATAAATTCTTGTGGCTTTTTGAAATATACGAAAGTGCATCTTTCTGTTATCTGTGATCACCCTCAAGTGCAAAGTGCACAGAATCTCTTGTTCCTACCCAACCCAAACGGTACATAAGGCAGCACCCATTCCTCTGTCCCCCCCCCCCCGCCCCTTCACGCTGCCCTCTCCAGCCTCTGGAAACCCCGTTCTATTCTCCACTTCCATGAGTTCAGACTTTTTAGATTCCACACATGAGTGGTATAAAGAGTTCTTTCAGTACCCGGCTTGCTTATTTAATATAATGTCTCCAAGCTTATTCATATTACAGCAAATAACAGGATTTTATTCTTTTGTAGATGCATACTATCCCCTTCTGTCTATGACGACATTTTCTTTATCTGTTCACTGCCCCTGAGGCTGTCTCCAGGTCCTGGTGGCTCTGAGTCATGCTGCCGTGGGCACAGGAGTACAGATGTCTCTTTACAGGCTCCTTTCACTTCCCTTCCATAGACATTTTGTAATGGAATTTCTAAATCATGAACTAGTTCTACTTTTTAATTTTTGAGGAACCTCCACAGTATTTTCGGTAATGGATAAATTCTTTTATTCTTATGTACTCATTTTATGAGGCCAGGCATAACAACAATGCCCTAAGTCAAATGTTTAACTCAGAAATTTCATCTAGTCAGTAGTGAGAAACTGTCCTTCAGTAGACCACAGAAATGGAAGAACCCGAGATGCCCTGTCCAAACACCCACCTGGACGGGAAGGGAGCTGGCCCTGAGGCTGCCATTGTCCTGGGTTGATGCCTTCAGGAAGATGTCCCTGACAGCCAGCAATGGCATCTTCTTTGTAAAGATCCTTGACCCTGGGGCTCTGGTGGTTAAATGGTGCATCCAGAGTCACAGGGTAGGGAAAGGCAGAAAGAGAAACCACGCCTTAGGTGTTCCCCTTGCAGGAGTGTTTTCTACATCCTGGATATTTTCATTCCTCTCTTCAAGGGCACGCTTTGTACCTGTCGACTCGATTCTTAACAAAAACATCCGCTCTGGTGTGGCACGGGCTGGCATTTCAAAATCATTGTCATTCTTGTTACTAACGTGGCTGTTTCCATAAACCCCATTCGCTCGCTAATCATTGTTCTGCTTTGTAGAACAGAAGAAGAGCACCTTAGCTGCAGCGTAAGGACCATCCCTCGGAGCATTGAACAACAGCCATTGTGTTCCTTCTGAGACTCCTTTTCTTGTTTGTAGTAGTTTAGGTGGTTTGAGAGCTCTCGTGGTTGTAATTTACCTACTTTTGTATTCTCAAGGACACTAGCATTCTTTTTTAGTGGCCAGAACCACACAAGACACCCATCCATGTTGGTAGCACACAAGGACTCAGCTGAGGATTCAGCTGCTGGTTGCCATAAGGGCTCTGGCGGCCTCCAGACCAGGGTCCTTCTCATCTTTACCAACCAGCTGAGCATGCTTGGATGAGTTACTGAGAGCTCTCTGAGTCTCCTTGCTTATCTGTGAAAAGGCCATAGTCCTGCCCATGTCAAAGGCCACAATCAGAATTGGAGGAGGAAACGTTTGTTAAGCCTTAGTAATGTAGACTACGTTGTAAGGCCTCAGTAAAGGCTGGCTATTTTCTCCCCCTGTGCCTTGATGACATGTGTTTGTTTAGCAGTTGAACAGGTAAATGTTTTAGAATCCTTATAAAATCACAAGCCATGCTAAAGTTCAGTAAACCCTTGAAGCCTCTGGCCTCACATTGAAATCAGGCTAGAACTCTCATACACACTCAACAGTATTTGATTTGAAAATATAAGCGTGAGATGCTCTCATCTCCCTGTTTTTAATTGTATTTCATGGTGAAGTGCTATGTTGAATGTACACTCCACTAGCCAGTTTGTCCTCACCTTGTGTCCACGCTTATGCTTGCCTCCTGTGACTAAAACCAAACACAAAAGAGCACTACCTTTTAAGCTCTTGGTCCTGTACAGCAGACATCTATGCATTGCATTGTTCAGTTAATCGGCAGGACTAGCCATAACCTATCTATCTCTCAAATACAACCTATTTCTTAGCCAACAGATACCATATGCAACTGTCAAGTTTACTTATTCATTTTTGCCTTGTCAGGATTTATTTTCCGGGTCTTTTCAAGCTAGCAAATGACTTAACTTCCTTTGAACTTTTACTTACTTCTCAAGCAAATATTTTCCATCATCAACTTGATCTAAAGGATTCTGTAATCTTTTCAGTTCTTCCTGTAAAAAAGAAAAAAAAAAGAAAAAAATTACTAACTTGTAATTTTGGCAATGTTATCTGAGAGCGGTTGTTAGCAGCGCTGAGACAAGCCACAGCTGAGTCTGTAGGGGAAGCAGTGATTGTTAGGTCTTTAAACACTCATTACAGTGTAATCCCTGCCTTAATTGGAATACAATATTATCATGTAAATAGATAGAGTTTTTTCATCACCAAGCAGAATGCTTCCTGTTATTTTTCCAGGGTGGGTATGTTTTTATGAGTTCACATACATTTACTCTTTCCAAATGTATGAATCCATAGTAGTTTGCCGTTTGCTGAATGCAGCTCTAATGAATGTGTGCTGGGTTTAGCCATACAACAAACTTTCTCTCTTGTCTCTTAGTAACCTTTCCTGTGTAGTCCACATGTGCACTTGTACACATGCACACACACACACACACACACACACACACACACACACACACACATGCAGGAACACATGCACCCCCCCACACACACACACACCCTCCTCTGAATTTTGAATATATGTGGTCACTGTGATCTCATCAACTACAAGGATATTACAGAAGTTAACATGAGATCTTGATGGGACTCATAGCAGGTCCCAGTCTTAATAATCATGGAAGAGGAACTGTAAAGAATGCTTATAGTATTCTTTTCCTGGGAAGACCGTTTCCATGCTATGGGACCTGTTCCCTCAAAGTGTTGAAGTGACCAGTCCCAAAAAGAAAGGTACAATCAAAACTGAAATGATCCCTCACTGTCAGGGTGTGGGGTTATTGATCTGGGATTTCAATGGGCGCCAATATCCCAGGTGCCCAAGTCTCTTCTGAAAGTGGCATAATGTTTGCATATCTTTGTATATATCCTACACACCTCTTTGCACACACTTGAAATCATGCCTGCACTGCATTGCACATTCCAGAACGTGACCTACCTCCACCTCTCTCCACAGTCCCTCTACCCTTACCACTGGGCTGTCCAGTCCAACATCAGCAGAGGGCTCATCCTTGAATTCCTTTGAACATTCCCTAAATTGTCTTGTTTTAGCTGAACCATGCCTTGTGGTTCTGGGAACAGCTAAGTTCTTGTGAGAGCAAAATCAATAGACTGTTTAGAAAAGCGTTTTGGTGCTTAGAGGATTTTACCAATGATGAACATGGCTGAGTCTCCCTCAGGATGCCTTCTCCCTGAAGCGCTCTTAAGAGGGGACCATTTCTTCCCTGCGAACTACATGCTACATGGTCTAGAGACAGCCTGGGTCCTCCTTACTCCTGAGTCTGTCTTCTAGATTCTTTCCACTCCTCCATAACCTCAGTTCCTCTACAACGTCCCAGCTCCCTACTCCAGGCTTTGTTTGCCCTCTCTGACATTTTTACTGCTATTTACCCAACTTCTCGTGGGATTTCATCCAGTCTAGACAGAAAAATGCATTGGTAATTGACAGATAGGTAGGTAACAGACTGACAGAACATCCTTCTCAAATTTGGATTCAACATTTCGCTTTTACAGTAAAATTCCTCCTTCAGTTCCATAAACTTATTCTTTACCTCCATCTTCGTTTCTCCAATCCTTCCCTCTTTGTCATATCTCATCACACCTTCAATGCCAAAATCAGTAAACGCAAGTTATATAAATGGTAGTGCTGAGACTCACTTTTACAGAGAACCAATTTGGGTGTGTGTGTTGGGGGGTGGGGGGGATCCTTAATTATCTTTGAAAGCCAGAGGTGAATGTGTAGGCTTCTCGCATTCCTTCTTATCCTCCACATGATGGTTAATAAAGAGCACCTGATCTTGGTAGACTTTGCACTTTCTCGTCCATGGTGAGCTGTGGTGTGTATTGTTCCTTCCCTTTCCTGGGGCACTCAGAGAGAAGGGCAGGAAGGAAAGAGTTTGCACACTCTGTACTGCCGGCACTTTTCTCCATTTTTCAGTTGTGGGAGTCTTCTGGGGGCAGGGGACAGGCTTTGGTGTAGTGCTTCCTTCAGTCCGACTACCAGTGTTCTAGGAAATTATATTGAACATAAGGTCAATGACTAACCAAACTTTCCCGACAGCTGCTCTACTGACTATTTGGAGGACTGATTGCATCATTTGGTTATTTAAGCTAACTCTACAATGCACCCCACTTCAACTGGCCTGGAAGTTTCAAAGCATATCCTCATTTTCTCAGAGATGAATTAGGAAGTTGGCTTGCTCACGAATCCCATTGGGAGTTTTACCTTTGAGAAAGTTCTGTTTTATCATTGAACATGTATACAAATAGTCTCTGCCACCGTTAGTTTCTACCACTAGCTTTATCTGTCTCTGATTTTGTATTTGGCAATGTTTTTATTGTTGTTATTTTTTCTAGAAACCATTAGTAGCTCCTTGATGTTCTGGGGATGGATTCCATCCCACAGCTGAGGTCTTAACACAGTAGAAGTTAGCTAGCCTCTCTCTGCTTTACCTCCACTCTGTCCATACTGCTAAAATCCTGCTCAGATGAAAGGCCACACGGTTCCTGAAGGCACATGTTCTCCTCCATGACATTCAGTGACTAAGTCTTTTCATCTTTCTCTTAGCTCATCCCATTCTTCCTTGAGGAAGACTCTAACCCCGTGCCCTCCACAAAGGTCTTCCCAACCTTCTGGAAGGGTTGCTGTCTCCAGTCCCAGTTCCTAAACAACCTGTCATCATTCCAGTTTGCATTTTACTCTCTCCCTGTCTCCCACACTAAATTACTGGGGCTTAGGGATACTGTCTAATCACCTGGTATATCTACCCCCAGAATGAAGCATTTATGAGTGGCTTAATAAATACATGTTGGGTAAATGAATTGAATCTGTTGCGGCAATGATGGAGACACTTCAGTAACCGGAGGCTTGCAGTCTCTGCTCTCCCACAGGGTCCCTTTACTGTTCTGCACTGTCTTCTGTGTCCTGGGGAGCTTGTGACTTGGGTTTTATCAGTCATGTCCCTTTGTTCATGGCTCTTGGGAGGAGGCACCGAGGTGAGAGAGAACAGCAGAGGGAAGAGGCCAGCAGATGGATGCTCTTGCTGGAACACAGCTTGCCGGGAGGTGAAGGCCACAGCTCCTAGTGGCCTCTCTCACATGGTGTTTCCAGCCACAGGCCTATTACTTCTTCCTCTCCTTCCTCTTCCAGCATCTTCCTTTCCCTCCAACCATTCCCTCACTTCCTCTCCCTTCCTTCCCCTCCTCCCCTCCTCTCCCTTCCCCTTCTTTCACAGGATGCATTGGTAGCTCCAGATTCTTCCCCAAGCCTGGAGTGTTACCCTACACCCTGCCCTCCCGTTCTTGTACTTCTCCAATCACCCTCTTAAGAGAGTTATCTGTTTCAGCCTTGGCCCTGGCTGATAAACGCCAAGAAACCTACATTGCCTTTGCTTGCCCTACCTGGAAATTCCAACAAGTACCATGAATTAATCAGTCCGATTAAATAACAGAGTAGCATATCCACTCATTTCCGGTCCATTGTAGGAGAAGCTGTCCCAACACAAACCCCCGAACTTACCTCATGGTTCGGTTTCATTCAAAAAATAATAGGGCAATTCCTACCCTACTCTATTTGACTACTGTCTTTTTTTTTTTAATTAAGCTCAATACCCCTGCAAAATACAAGTTGAATTATTCAGGTGCAACCCATATACACAGCACTGCAAATTCTTCCAAATGAAATCTGTTATGAGTGGTGAGGGAGCGTAAGCTATACCGCTGTGGTGAATAATTGACTGACTACTTGTCATACTTCCCACCGCCAAGAGAGTTTTTCTGAAGTAACTTGGGTGTGAAACATTAGAACGCATGGCCAAGAGGGCATTTGACTTCTTGCGTCTCTTCCCCCTCCCATCCTAATCTTGCCAAGTGTTCTGTCAAGCACAGTGGGGTAGAGCCAAGAGCCTGGCAAGTTCTCTATAGCCTTATACTCAACCACTGGACCTGCTCATTAATCACTCTCTTGGTTTTCTTTATCTCTACTCCATCTGTGTTCTGAATAAGTAGGGTATATTGTTTGGACAGGTTTAAAGTCAAAAATCTTTTCAATATTGCTTTGCCTCTAAAGTGCACTTACATCTAAACATAACCTCTTAACTCTTCTGAATTGCACATTGGCCATGTTATTCCCAGCATGGCCCAGAGCATCTAGGGAAAGTTAAAATGTGAACACAATCTACAATTCAGTTCATTCTGTGGCAATGGAGAACAAGTCCAGTGACACTCACATAAATCAGGGTTTTTTGTGTGTGTTGGGAATAATTTCATATTAACCTAAGGGTAACTATTTAACAAAAGTTAAAAGCCAAATGTACTTTTGATGCTTTTGACTACTTAATCATTCAATTAAATATTAATAGGTTTCTCCACCAATCCCCCCACCAGATCCTTTTTTAAATGGAAGTATAATAAGAGCACTAAAAGGGGGGTTACTAATGTTTGCATAATTTGGAAAAGTAGAAGACATAAAATCTATACTAATTTTAGCTCTGCATCATTAAACATGAAATATTGATTATTGCTCTTTGTAACGGGGTTTATGAAGCTAGCTAGGCTGCTGTGTCCACATAAAGTGAGTCTGATGCTTTGCCCTCGGACCCCAGTGGCTGTAAATGATGCCCCTTGGTGACAGCTGGGAGGCAGGCATTCTGATCCACAGCCTTAGGAGATGCATTTCCCAGATTAGACCAGGGATGACCCAGCTGCACAGCTCAACTTCAGAAAATTAAACTGGAGGGAGTCCAAGCTCTGTTGAAATAACTGTGTGAATTACAGCGCTTCCATGGGCCTTGTTATAATGTAAATGTGCTCACAATTTACTGCCATTCCCCATCCCTGCTGTGAATATGGGCATTAATAGTCATCCCATATATTTAAAGGCAAAAAGGCATCAAAAATAAAAATGCTAGACTTGTGCTTTCTCCCTTTGGAAGAAGGGACTCGTTTTCTTTTTCTTCTCTTTTTCTTTTCTTTTGCCATTTTCTTTTTCTTTTTTAAAAAT